TACCCATTCTCTAATGCTACAGGACCTTAGATCTTGACGCTACACCTCTTCCTTCTTTTGTGTCTACTATTTCCCTAATGTGCTCTCATCCACTGCCCTGGCTTTAGACAGTTTCCAGCTGGGACAGAACAGCTGTGAAGGGGGTAAAGGGAGGAGGGCTGGGGCATCTGCCTCTCACTACAGGCCCTCCAGGGCCTTTGGAACTTAGCACCATGGACAACTGTAACCTCTTCAAATTAGCCAACAAAACGAATCCACATACAAATATACAGACCGACCAGCTGTAGGCTGAAAACCCCCCAATATTTATTTCCAACCTAAAATCTTCTCTGAATGTGAGATCTGTAGATCCAGACTTTTCATCTGACATCCTTTCTTGCATGTCTCATAGGAATCTCAAACTAAACAGGCCCCAAACTGAATTCTCAAGCTTCCCTCCAAACCAGTTTTCTCACCTCAGTAAATGGCCCATCACTCAACCAAGCACTCAAACTGAGGATCGGTCTTAATATTTCCTTCCCCCCTACCCCCACTCAATCCCCCCTACCCCCACTCAATCCCCCCTACCCCCACTCGATCCCCCCTGTCCCCACTCAATCCCCCCTGCCCCCACTCGATCTCCCCTGCCCCCACTCAATCCCCCCTACCCCCACTCGATCCCCCCTGCCCCCACTCGATCCCCCCTGCCCCCACTCAATCCCCTACCTCCACTCAAGTCACCACACGCATCAGAAACGTTCCTCCATTTTGCCGTGGTGCCGCGTGACACTTGGAGCCTGGGCTGTGCTGGATGCAGCAGTCGCCTCTTCCCGGCCTCTCTGCTTCCACTGGGGCCCTGCTCCACAACCCCTCTTCCCCAAACCACTTTCCATCCCACAGCTGAAGTGTCTGTCAGATGGGTACACCTTGTTTGGGGCTGGCTCCTGCCCATGGCCCACGCACGCTGGCCACTCCACCATCTCCCTCCTGTTTGGAGCTCTCAAAGGCACTCCCTCTATTTCATCTGCTTTTCACCTAACATCCACTTAGCTTTCAAGTGTCACTTAAATAGTACTGCCTTAGAACACCTGCGCTTGAATCCACAAAGTAAACTCTTTCCCTTCTCCACTTGTCTCTCATAGTATCCCACTTTTTCCTCACCAGAGCACTGACCACAACTTAAAACCATAATTGTATTTGTTTTCAATTGTTTTGTGTGGGACACCCTCACCAGACTATGCCCCATGAGCACAGCATGATGCCTGTTTTTGTCAACCATGCAGACCCAGAATCTGGCCCAGGGTAACGGTGGATTTTTTTTTTCCTTAGTGAAAAGAAGAAGAAATATTAAGACAACAGACTAAAGGAAGGGTCAAAAGATGAAAAGAGAATAACATCAAGGTATAGAGGAAGGAAAATGTGCCTATTTTTCCTGAGTTCAGCTCAATGAATTTCCATAAAACTGAAGTGCAAGATAACTAGAAAATAGTTAAATAAGAAGGTTCTGTCCCCTCCAGGCGTTTGTCCAAATGCATGACCATTTTTATGAATTCAACGCCCTCACAAAAGACTAACTCTCCCATAATAAGTATTTCTGCAATGACAGGCTAGAAAGAATGTGCGTCTCTGAGGGATAAAATAAGTTAAATATCTCAAGGACAAAGGAAGTGAAGGTTTCACAGAAAGGAGGAAAAAAGGCAATGTTTAACGGCGATCCCCATGGACCTGGAGCAAGGCCGTTCGGTCTAGATTCCACTCTGCCAGGAGGGAGGGGGTCACTAGGGAGTCCACGTACTTTTTCTTGGCCCCAGTTTCCATCAGTATAAACCAGTGCTCCCTTTGGGCTAAAAAGCCTATGGTCTTATTAGTCATGCGTTTATATAATATTCATTCAATATGCAGTGGATCTAGATAAAGGTGTGTTTTGCCTCTGAACAGACTGCCTTGCTTACTGTTTAGGGAGTGTTCTCTGGACTGGTTTTTTGTTACCTTTGATTTAGGGGTTTATAAAACTTCAGTTCGTGTTGGTTACGCTGACCTATAACACCTTGAGAAACCAAGTAGAAATGTTTTCTGTAATAGTTTGAGTTAAAGGACGTCATCCTGAAGAACAACGGACCGGAGACTCCTACTTATTATATTTCTGAAACCTGAAGTGTATTTCTGATACTGTTTCACAGCTCAGAGAATATGAACCTTTTGACAGAATCTATCTGACCCCCTTCAGGACTGGCAGGCTTCAGATTTCTTTTGATTTCAAAGCTAACAAAAATCGGGCTATCTGCCAGAAGACAAGCTCTTACTGATCTCATAAAAGTGACACGGCTAGAGCACTAGCTTGATACGATCAAGGTGCCAAGTTAGACCGAAAAGTCACCACAGCTTCCTCGGGAGGCACCTGGCCTGCTCTGGGCAGGAAGGGAGGATCACCGTGGCCGCAGAGTCTCATAAGACAGCGCCGTCTCTCTTTGCACAGGCCTTAATGTATTCTGACACGGCCATTTCTGACTGTAGAAAACACGCAGTGATCAGAGTAGTCTTCAGCTCACTGCTGGCTAGAGAGGTCTCTGAGGTAAAGCAGGTGAGGTAACGCAGGGGACGGCAGGTCAGCGGCCCTCACTGTTCAACCTCCCTCCTGCGCTGGCTGTGCTCGGGCCTCTGGACAAGACTGACTCTGTGCACTGCACAGCTGCCCCAAGTTACCGACGGGCAGGAAGTTACAGGCAGAATTCAAGTAGAAAAGGGTGACCTAGGCGATACGCCTAAGTCTTCTGATGGTGTCTCCTCTTGTATCGTGTTGCACATGCAGGTGTAAAGGTCCACACCAGGACACATGCTGCTGAGGGACTCCCCAAGGAGATGCCTTATACACACCAGCAAAGAATCACTAGGGTGCTAAGTGTAATGTTACTTCTATCTTAATGTGATTTGTAAACTGGAGACCCTGATCATTATTATAGCAAATGAATCTAGAAAAAACTAATGATCAGTTATACAATAAGACCTTTTTGTACCCCAAAGACATCTCAGAAGCCTTGTCTCAAACCCAAGGCCAAACGCTATGGCCTCTGTCCAAAGGTTCCTTTTCATGCACAGCTCCCGCAGTGGCTTTCCAGGATGACTTAAGCCCTGGGTCAGCTGTATTCTAAACACAGCTTGGTTCTAACTCAATATTCTTCCCTTTCTTTTAGCTCCCGTATTCTCTACAATACCGTCATTTGGGGATTCTATACCTCGTGATGTTTTTCTTTCATCCACCTGTATGACTATCAGCAGTAAGAACCTCTCTGAGGTCCCGTTTCCTCACCTGTGAAATGGCGCTAAGGTCCTCCAGCCTCTGTTTACAGCCTCACGTGTGCAACGAGAAGCCCCCCACCACGATGCAGGCGCATTCCATCTGAATAACTCAATGCTGTTTTCTTATTTTTGAGGTATGCCTGCCCTGCCTTCAATCCACCACGAGCACAGTCTCATTCAATATGTCCCAGGTGTATTACAAGGCACAAACCCAAAGCACTCACACGCCGACCACTGGCAGCAGCTTACCTTCCAATTTCTTCTCTTTGCTCAACAAGTAAAACAGGAGCCGCCGCAGAGCTGGAGGATGGCCTCCGAGGAGCGCGATGCTCAATGCCAGCTCTGCCGCCTCAGCTCCGGCTGTGCCCGCCCCCCTGCAGCGGTGCCCCGCGCCCTGCTCACTTGGTACTCCCGCCTTAGAGCCTAGCACGGCTACCGACCGCGAAAAAAGCTAAGCAAGACTAACCCTCTGTCTAACCTGTAACTGTCTCAGGTGATCCTATTTAGAGCTACACAAGTTTAAGTCTAGCACAAAACTGGTCGACAGCTACCGGTCATGTTGAGACCTAAAGATGGGTATAATGGTTTCACACACACGCATATTCCAAACAAAATAAAAATAAATTTTTTCTATAATTCCAAAAGAAACATTCTCTAACTCTACACCTGAAGGGACTTTTTTCAAATTCATGGTACTTTAAAATAAGTTGCTGTCCACTGGAAGAGGACTCACGGTTAACAGGGCAGTGCTTCCTGCTTGCTCTTTCTGAAAAATATCAGAAGGCACTGTAAGGATAGGATGACTGTGAATTACTATTTCTTCAGTAGTGTTCTCCTAATAGTAGAGAGACGAAATGACTGTTTGATGAACTGGCGTCTAAGCTTGTCATTTCTCTTCTGTTATATATCTGTCCTACTGCTTTGAGGGCAATTTAACACAGAAAGATAACCTCAGAAGAGTCTGACATAAATAAATAAACTCCCAGTCAGCGATGTGTCTCTAGCTATTTGAAAACAAATAAAACCAGGAGGAGCCTAAGTCTCAGTAGAAAAGATGCCATTCCCACAATCTGTTGGAGCAAAGTACTCTGAATCACAGGTTTGCCCTCGCTTTCATAGCTACCTAGCCATCCTGTGTACCAAGGCAGCCACTATCCACATAAACTTTAAAATAAAGTTAACTAAACTTAAATAAAATTTAAAATGTAGTTCCTCGGTCCCACTAGCCATATTTCCTACGTGGTGGTCAGTGGTCACCTCACTGGTTAGGGCAGTAAAAAAATGTCTGCATCACAGCAGAAGTTCTGCCAAGAGCTCTGATGCAGACGTGACAGCACCATCTGGGAGCCACAGATTTACCAGCTGCCACTTACTTATTCAGGTGTTTAAGACATAAAACTTGATAGCTATTGCAGTGGTCTTTTTAAGTACGTAACCATGCCTTGGCTTTCTTATAACAATACCATTTGTGCTTGTATTACTTTCAGTAACATGAACTATTAAAGGTAAAAGTAAATGCGGCTAACTTTTTCAGTAAGGACTTTTTTTTACAAATAGACAAAATCCTCTGTCATACCATGTGTCCCAAATTCTGATGTAAATAAAAACCAACCAACCAAATACAACCCATGTACATGGTGAATACAGTGAAGAAATTGCTCTGAGAAAAGCCTCCACTTTCTCCAGGTGAGTCTGGGTGCCTGCACCTGTGTTTCGTCACTCACCGAACTCCAGGAGGGTCTGTGCCATCTGCCTGCTGACACCTGCAGCGAAGAGAGTAAACTCTCTGCACCACCACCCGGACCCCGGCTCCCGACCAGGTGGCAACTCCTTGGCTTTCGACTGCATCCAGCAGAGAATCCCTCAGGGGAGCTCGGGCGGGGAAGCCCAGCTCTGCTTGTTCGTGTCTGAGGGTCCAGTCCGTGCCCACGGTGGTGTGACCACCACACATAACCTGGCAAGACACGCAAAGGAAACAATTCCAGTCTGACCCACGAGGGCACACTACATACCAAATCCCAACGTGCTTGGGGAACCCTAAGCATCGGGTGTGATTGCAGGACACTCAAGGAATGACAAGGACAGATGCACGCCCATGGCGCGGGGCTCCCATCCGCGGGCCACCAACGTGACCGAGGAGGCCTGGTGAGTCGAGGAACAGGGGAGCGGCAGGAGGACAGACCACCTCGGGGATTTGAAAACATGGAGAAAGTACTGCTATTAAAACACCTTATGGTGATTTAAAAAATTTTCTTTTATGAGGTAACGCTCTCAATAGCACAAACTACAAAACAAAATAAAAGAATGACTAGGGTTATTATGAAGTGCTAGCACTTTGCACACTCCTGTGAGCAACATGCAACACCTTTATGATCCCAGTAAACATCCTAGTAAATAAATATCCTCTAGAGTGCTCCATGCTTCCTACATTGCAGCACTTTTCTTTACATACGGTGCTGTGTAACAAACACATTTAACCTCACAACCCAAGGAGGCAGGCTGCATAGTTACCACTGTTTGCCAGATGAGAATGTTGAGACAGGAGTTCAGCGTCTTACCCAAGGTCACCCAACAGCAAGTGGCTGAGGCAGGACCCGAACTAGGCACCTAGTTCCAAAGTCCACACGCTTAACCACTAAGCCTACTGCCGCTCCGCTAGCACTGACGTGAGACGAAGACACACCTCATGAATTTAACATCACATAGCTGTCTAAAACTGTACATTAAAGCAGTAATGCACTTTGAGCTGTATTTTACATCTGTTCAATTAAATTGATTAGACAGCCCTCCTTTTCACATAATCCTCTCCAGACACACGCTCTGACAGTCAAAGGGAGCTCCCGCTCAACTCCACACCTACCAAGTAGGTTCAAAGTCCGTTTCCTTTCCTTTCCGATGTCCCTTCACACTGTCAGCTTCAGTATTCCGCTCTGCGCTGACTGGGATAACTAGGCGACCCTGAGGCAGGCGCACTGAAGTCAGACACTTGGAGCCCGAGTGGTCCCGGGGGTGTCCTTTGTGCCCGCCGCAAGTGAAGTTTAGTGGTTCCCCAAGTTCATCTTGGTGGATGACCATGGCTCAGGGCCACTAAAATTCCCAAAAGCAATCTCCAGTGTATAACCTCAAGTTTATGCAGCTCTTTTTATCCCAAGGGATACAGATGTTATGAAAAAGAAAAACATGATTTTTTTAATAAATAAAAGAGGCTTAAATAAAATTCTTAGGCAATTATGAGAAGAGAAAAAAAAAGAAAACTCATATTTTAATAAATTAAAGATTACATATATAGTTGCTGAATATTTGGAAAGGACCAAAGGTAATCACCTCTATAAACTCCAAAGCCTTTAAACGCAGTATTACTACAAAGCAAAAAACCTCTAAGTCAGTGATAGTTTACCTGGTTTTCAGGTGAGTTATTTGTTAGGCTCTTAAATCTAAACATCTGGGCCAAAATGATGCTTCTTCTTGGAAGGGGTGTGTCCCAACTGTGCACTTCATGTGTTGTTTTTGAATCTTCTTTGGCAACAACTTTCTGACAAAAATAAGTATTCAGAATAACAGGGCAACTTCCATTTGGGATAATAAGCTTTTGCCTGGAAAGGGAAAGAAATACAAATACAAGTTTATCTGCAATGCTGGATTCCCCTCACCTTCTTGCTAAATCACAAAGGACAACGACTTGCTGGCTAAGGACACAGGCCCTAGAGCAGCTGCCAGTGCATCTGGTTCTGCTCTTCTGAGCAAGTCTTGTGTCAGGAGTGGGGGTGGAAGGGGCGGCAGTGCTCGAGCTGGAGGTCCCCCGGGGCCTCCCAGGCTGCTGGACAGTGGCCTCAGGGCCCCTCGGGGAAAGTACTTGGCCGGGGGGGTGGGGGGCACACAGCTGCCCGACACTGAAGTAAATGTTACAAGAAAGACCTTCGGACACTTCACAGCTCTCATCTTTCAGAAAACATGACACCAGACACCAAAGGAGCTCCACCTTCACTACCAAACGGACCACAGTCACTGAAATGGCCCACATTCAAGTGGAAGTAGGACAATGTGCTACTGGTTCCTCTCAGACTAGCTAATGCTCATTCCTCACACAGGCAGCGCTGCTTAACAGGAAGGTTAACAGGAAGACGGAGTAGACACACTTTCCCCTATTTCTCCCGTTAGACACAAGGAAATGCCTGGTGCTGCACAGAAACGAAAGAGCAGAAGAAGCTGAAAGGGGAGAGGAGGAGGCTGTCCAGCTGGGACCCAAGGACAGACAGAGCAGCAAGTTCCTGAGCTTCCTCTTTGCAGCCTAGAAACAGCAATGGGTGCCGACAAAGGCACCCTCGAAAGGAAGGACAGGGAAGGGGCAGCCCAGCGAGACAGAAAAGTCCTAGGAAATCACTGCTCTACTCTTGGCAAATATCACAGGAAAACTGTGACCTACTGCCACACACAGCAGGCAAAGCGCAAGTGGGGGCTGGACATGCCCCTCGACAGGCTGTGATGAAGAGTCTGTGCAGGCCGGCTGGGCTGGTGTGAGACGAGGCACTCACCCTCACACCCCCATCACTCCCGTAACCGAGTCTCACTCCCCGCCCCTTGGAGCAGAGTCCAGTGGCCCAGCAGAGTCAGTACTTTCACCACTACCCGGCCCTCCCACTTCCTCCACTGCAGTGAGTGGCAGCCTCGTGGGAAGCGGTAACGAAGGAAATCCTGACGCCTCCCTCCACCTGGTAGTAAGAAGCCCCCCACCCTCCCAACGTCTCTTCTCAGAGCAGTGCCAGACAAAGCCACCTAAAACTGGTTTAAATAAGATCCAGGATCTTGTATCATAATACCTAACATGTATAGGTTACCATCTAGAACCACCTGTTACACTAAGAACCAGGAAAATTCTCACTTGAATGAAAAAACACAGTGACTAGATGACAATGTTAAGATGACGCAGATGTCAGAATTACCTGACAAAGATTCAAAAGCAGCCATTACAAACATGCTTCAGTGACAGTTACAAATGCACATGAGACAAATGAAAGAACAGAAAGTCTCAGCAAAGAAACAGGAAGTCTTAGCAAAGATACAGATTTTCTTAAACGGAAATTTTATAACTAGGAAATAAAATAATGAAAATAAAACTCACTGGATGGGTTCAACAGCAGAATGAAGGGAGCAGAGAAAAGGATCAGTGAACGTGAAGATAAAATAATATAAATTACCAAATATAAACAACAAAGAAAAAAGAGACCAAAAAAAACCAATGAACAGAACCTCAAGAGGTGTGAGGAAGAAGAAATAAAAATGGAAAGATACAGGTAAATAAAATAGGCTTTCCTGCTCCTGTTGAGTTTTTGAAATTATATTTGGAGTTGAAGCAAGAATTATAACACTGTCTGATATGGTTCTAAATGTATGCAAAGGAAATATTTAAGACAGTCATGTAAATGAGGACAGTAAAGCGACATAAGAGGCAAGGTTCCTACACTTCACACAAACTGGCAAAATGTTGACCCCATAAACTGATAAGTTATGCATATAAAATGTAATGCCTAGAGCAACCAATAACATAGCTATAACAACACAAAAACATTATAAATAAATTAAAATGAAATTCTAAAAAATGTTCAAGCAACCCACATAATGCCAGGAGAAAAAGAAAAACCCAGAGAAATGAAAAACAGAGAACACCACAGAGAAAACGAGAAATAAAAAGGGAGACTTAAGTCTTAATATATCAATAATTACATTAAGTGTATATGGTCTAAAAAAGCAATTAAAAGACAGATTAGCAGAATGTATTAAAAAATACGGTCCATCTTTATGCTGTCTACAAGAAATTCACTTCAAATATAAAGATACAGGTAGGATGAAAGTAAAAGGCTGGGGGAAAAACCATCATGTAACATTAACATAAATATGGTTGAAACTACTATCAGATGAAGCAGGCTTTAGAGCAAAGAAAATTATCAGGGATAGAGAGGGACATCACACAATGATTAAAAGGGACAATCCACCAAGAAGACAAATTTGCAATGGTAATATTTTAAGCCGATAGACTACACGTATGGTAACTTAGAAATAACAATTAGGAGACATGGAGAGACAGAGGCAAGCCAGACACAGAGTGACAGTCAGCAAGAAGAGGTTCAAGAAAGCAAGAGGGCAGGGGTGGGGCACAGCATCGGGTACCACTGGGCTCAACTGTGAAGGTCCTGATACAGCAGGATGGATGAAAGATGTCATACGTGCCCAGCCTTTTCTTTCAAGTTAATTTGAAAAATATGATCAAGTAATATTCTTTTTTTTTTGCGGTACGCGGGCCTCTCACCGCCGCGGCCCCTCCCGTTGCGGAGCACAGGCTCCGGACGCGCAGGCTCAGCGGCCATGGCTCACGGGCCCAGCCGCTCCGCGGCATGTGGGATCTTCCCGGACCGGGGCATGAACCCGCGTCCCCTGCATCGGCAGGCAGGCTCTCAACCACTGTGCCACCAGGGAAGCCCGATCAAGTAATATTATTTTAACTGCTAAGTTAAGAACATAGCACAAGATTTCTGTGTGTATTTAGAACCTTACAGTTTACAGAGAGACATATTAACATTAGAACTCTGTTCTGCCAAATTCAAAGTCCTGTTTGAGGCTATTAAGGTTAAACCAAATTAAAAACATACCTACACCAAATAGATGTGCAAGGCTAGTGGATTTGGGATAGACCTTAAAACCCATATCTAGGTCCATTTGGTTCATTTTGCTGTTTTTACTCAACACCTATGACATTCCAGGCAAGGGGCAGGGGACTGGGAATCCAGTCTGAGACAAGAAGGCTGAGAGGACAGGTTTACTGCAAAGGAAAAGGGTGTTATATGATACCCCGAGGGAGGACCCTCTGGAGACAGGGAAGGTTTCCCAGGAGAGGTAACCAGGTGAGGGCTGCCTGGGTGAGGGTGTGTGAAGGCACAGGGAAGGGGATGGTGGGGCACCTGCGGGGCTGCCTGGTGGCAATGACCACAACTCAAATTCCATGTGACAAGCAGAGTTCTCAGTACTACCTCACTGAGCTTCTGCAGAAGAAACACAGATGCTGTTTCCTTCGTTAGGAGGCCAAGGACGTCACAGCCTTTCAACATCCATATACATGGCACCAGCGTCATGCTCCTAGGGAGTGTGACCTCTTTATTTCTTTTTATGCTGCAGGCCAGTGTTAACTGCTGTGGACTCTACTATCACCTCTCTACTTATCTTATTGCCACAAATGTTATGTGATGACCAAAAAGCAAGTTTACAGAGCATGTATTCAGATTAATATTATAACAAGTTTAACCAGTTTTTCTGAAGATCTAACTAAAAATAAAGACAAACCTAAGGGGCTTACCTGGTGGCGCGGAGGTAAGAATCCTCCTGCCAATGCAGGGGACATGGGTTTGAGCCCTGGTCTGGGAAGATCCCACATGCTGCAGAGCAACTAAGCCCGTGGGCCACAACTACTGAGTCTGCGCTCTAGAGGCCACGAGTCACAACTACTGAGCCCGTGTGCCACAACTACTGAAGCCCATGCACCCAGAGCCCGTGCTCCGCAACAAGAGAAGCCAAAGCAATGAGAAGCCCGCGCACCTCAACAGAGTAGCCCCCACTCGCCGCAACTAGGAAAAGCCCACGCTCAGCAAAGAAGACACAACAAGCCATAAATAAACAAACACAAACAAATAAATAAGACAAACTTAAGATGTTAAACCTCACTTGATAAATCACATCACAACCAACACCACCAGTGAACATCATCATGATGCTGGACTCACAGTGATTCTTCTGTTAAGGAAGTTGAAGAGTGTGTGTTTACTTTCTAGTAAACTCTCAGAGCATCCTTGACAAGTCAGCAGCCATGGCAATAGGATGGGCTGCAACGTGGGACAGTCACACACATGGTAAAATACACAAAAAACTAGACAGTAACAGTCTTCCGTGGAGTCCAAGCACTATGGTTTCTCCTGGAAACTTGAAAAAAAAAGAAAAAAAAGAGAATCCTGTATGTTCAATACAAATGACAATTTGTCCAAATGTTTGCTTTCATGAAGAACCATTTCCACTGCTCTTTACTGAGAGTGTTATATACAGAACTCAGGTAAAACAAGAAACAAGACTGTTTTTTTTAATGTCACCAAGGGCAGAGAGGAAAACCAAGTGAAATATCTTTTCATTTGCTATCACTTGTCAACACTGCCGAAGTGTTAAATACCCCATTATCAGCTCATAAAACAAACAATATTTATTTCACATCACAAATCAGATCAGTTTGCTTGTTTACTGTCTAGGAAGAACGTGTCCAAATTTGGCAGGTGGCAAGGATGACTAAGGGATTAAATGCAGTGACCTAAACCAAGACAAATAGAAGGTATTTTCTTTCCTTCCTTTCCTTCCCTCCTTTAATGGCTAGTCAGCTAAAGACGTCAGACTAAGAACTGTAGTTGTCAAAAAAACGTAACCTAGACTTAATTCTTCTTTCCACTGAAGACATACTTGGGATAAACCAATCAATTTTGTTTACAATTTAGTCTCAACTCGAAGCCCCACTGGCCTGAGGACAAAGCTGTCTAGTACACACATCTTCCGGACACGGGAGGCC